CAGAGGTGGTTGTTGGAGCAGAGGTGGTTGTTGTAGCAGAGGTGGTAGTTGTAGCAGAGGTGGTTGTTGTAGCAGAGGTGGTTGTTGGAGCAGAGGTGGTTGTTGGAGCAGAGGTGGTAGTTGGAGCAGAGGTGGTAGTTGGAGCAGAGGTGGTTGTTGGAGCAGAGGTGGTAGTTGGAGCAGAGGTGGTTGTTGGAGCAGAGGTGGTAGTTGTAGCAGAGGTGGTTGTTGGAGCAGAGGTGGTAGTTGGAGCAGAGGTGGTTGTTGTAGCAGAGGTGGTTGTTGGAGCAGAGGTGGTAGTTGTAGCAGAGGTGGTTGTTGGAGCAGAGGTGGTTGTTGGAGCAGAGGTGGTAGTTGTAGCAGAGGTGGTAGTTGGAGCAGAGGTGGTTGTTGGAGCAGAGGTGGTAGTTGTAGCAGAGGTGGTTGTTGGAGCAGAGGTGGTAGTTGTAGCAGAGGTGGTAGTTGTAGCAGAGGTGGTTGTTGGAGCAGAGGTGGTAGTTGTAGCAGAGGTGGTTGTTGGAGCAGAGGTGGTTGTTGGAGCAGAGGTGGTAGTTGTAGCAGAGGTGGTTGTTGGAGCAGAGGTGTTTGTTGATTCTGTCCAAACCACCTGTAATACAACATTACGGTTTATATGCAAATTAAAATTTTCCCCATGAACACTGGACTCTATTCAGGATTCAACATTATCTTTTATGGATGCAGTAGACTTTATCGTGTTTCATTGTTTTAATACCTATTATCTGCCTTTTGTTAAACTTGATGTTCAAAGCAAATAGAACTTTTATGAAAAAAATGTGTTGGAGCTAGGAAAGATACTGAGCAGTGTAAAAGAACATTGAAATGCAGTAGGCTACTTATTTTAAACTTAAAAAACACAAATACAACAAGGGCTTAAATTAAGAATATTTAAACTTTGAGGAAATATTGCAACATTGAGAAGTAAATAATCAAGTTTATCTAATGATAATAAACACTGAAATGTAAACCAACCTGTGATGACAGATGGAAAGTGAACACAGCGGCTGCAAAGAAACCAAACAACATCTTGATCAGCTTGATGATTCCAGTAGGATTCTGTGTTTTCAAATGAACTATGGAGGAGACTCTGCAATGTTTTAATTGCTGTGGGAACTTTCAAAGCTGGAGACCACACCTGCTTTTTCATGCATTATTCAACACCATTTGAATGAGTGTATGTTCATATTTTGATGTGAAAGACCTTAATTTTCATATTTGACTGGGGGGTGTTTCTATGTAGCCTAATTATGAAAATATTCTGCATATCTTCCAGGATTGGGTCAATATTATCAATAAGCAAAAAAATAATGTCACATTTTTCAAATGTGTATTTAATTGGATATCATCTCTGATGATAATGACATCTATAGGCAGTGTCACATGTTATACGCCCAGGCAAACGTTCTGGGGAGGAAATTTCATATGTGCTCTGATGAGGTAAAAATAAGCCTGTTTAAAGCTTACTGTACGTCCTTGTGTACAGCTCCTTTGTGGTGCAAATTTTAAAAAACTAGTATGCAGAAGCTTAAGGTTGCTTATAATGACTCTTTGAGAATTTTGATCAAGAAACCCAGGTTCAGCAGTGCAAGTCAAATGTTCTGTAACGCACATGTCAGAATATTTCAGGCACTTTTGAGAAATATGATATACAAGTTAATGTGTCGTTTGGGTAACTCACCGAACAATCTTCTTGTAATGTTTTCACATCCCTCTGTTATAGCGCTAAGATACCAGTCTGCTCTCTGGAAACATTGGTATACAAGTCTTCTATAAGATTTATATTTATATTTTATGACTACTTATTGTATTTTTATTTTCTCTTGTTTTGTGTGTTGTGTTGTGTATCTTGTGGACCATGAGTCTGTTGAATAAAGTATATCACATGGTTTTGAAAATCAGAAAATTAAAAAAGAAAGATTTCACTCAAACTGACTTCAGATACACTTTGCAGGCTTGCTCAAGTTCACTTGAAGCTCATAGTGAGTTTGAGAACTCGCCGTGTTAGTGTGTGTTTTATCAGCAGATCCACAAATTCTGCTCTCTAACAGAAAGGAGATGGAACAAGTATAGTCGTAATTTTGTGACCCTACGCTTAAAGATACTGCAAACAATGATCCAAACAACACCAGCAAGTTCACCCCAAAATTAGAAACACACCATTCATGGTCAAAAACCATGAAAACCATAAATGGTATGTTTTCAACTACTAAAGAAGAGTTAAACCATGGCAATTATTGCACCCATTCATGGCACAACCAGGGCCATATATCTATTTGCTCCCATTAGCTCAAATTACAACAGAGAATAAGATTAATTACCATAACTATGAGGATGATACACAGCTTTACATTATGATGTGACTGAACAGATGCCTGAACCATCCAATCACTGAACAGATGCTTAGCTGCTCGTGTTCTCACTAAAACTAAGAAGATACATAACACCAGTTCTAAAGTCTCTACAACGGCTCCCTGTAGCTCAGAGAATACACTTTAAAATACAGTTAGTTTATAAATCACAGAACAGTTTCGCTCCACAATATATTACAGATCTGCGGTTGTTGTATCAACTTTCCAGTCCTCTCAGACCTTCTGGTTCTGGTCTGCTCTGCATCCCCAGAACCAGAGCCAAATGAGGAGAAGCACCATTCAGCTTCTGTGCACCACAAATCTGCGACAAACTTCCAGAAAACTGCAAAACTGCTGAAACATTGAGAGCCTTTACATTTAAACTAAAAATTAACCTCTTTAGAGACATCTTTGAAGCATAATTGATTAAGAATTTAAAGATGGTAGTCGAGTAAATGTAATGTTTCAATTGTTGATTCTATGTTGTATGACTTTATGTTTTCTGTGGTTTTATGATATAAAGCGCTTAGAAATGCCTTGTTGCTGAAATGTGCAATACAGATAAAAGTTAATTGATTCTGATTTGATTTTACTCATGGTCCAAGTTGACTTGGATAGGTTTTTTTTTCTCCTGCTTAAATAAAATCATTGAAAAACTGTGATGTTATGTTTAGTATTAAATTCTGCTCCTCAACCCTTGCAGCAGTTAATGATATCATTTAAATGAGGCATGTTGCAGCAGAGATGAATCTAAAGCATGAAGGACAGTGAACCACTGAGAACCAGGATGAGGAAACACTCCTAATAATGATGCTCTGAGCTCTGTCTTTTAGTTTCTTTTTTACCTCTGTCTCTGTCTGTCTAGTTATTTCTTATTTCAGCTTCCCTTGTAGTGTTTCTAGTTTTCTTTTCTTGTTACTTTAGGTTTAGTTCTTCTTTGAAGCCATGCCCATTTTTTATTTGGTGATTCTAATTAGGTTATTTCTTTGGTTAGTCCTTCTAGCTGTTCTAGCTCTAATTATTTTTAGAGCAGCCTTGTTTCTGTCTTGGTTCTTTCATAGTTTCCCCTCTCTTTCTAGTTTATCTTGTTTTCTTTTAGTGTTAGATTAAAAAATATATATTGCTTCAATCACTCTTTTGTGTTCCCCTCTATATCTATATAGTTGCCCTGTGCCACTTTCTCCCAAAACCCTCAGCATGGCTCCTACTTACCGCTCTCACCTACAATCAATTAGCTCATCAATCCTGGTTTTGTCTTGCTCTCTACATCCCAGTATTTTAGCCTCTCATTCTCTCCCATTACTCATCTGATTCTTATGGCTATTCTCCTCAGTCCTCTGTGTCTCCCTGTTTCTACCCCATGTCTCCTGGCTGGGGTTTAATTTTTGCTGTTACCTGTGATCTTCTATCTTTTGTAAGTGTTTAGCATTTTTTCATTCAGTCATCTAACTCAGTTGCTGCCTCTCTGCTTTTGGGTCCACACTTCAGCAACCAACATCATGACAGTCTCTCTCCTCCAAAGCTTTTGGCTGAGAATTTACTGCATCTAAATGTACACATCAACTGCTCTTTTTCATCCAATATACTTGAAGACTGTCTCTGCTTATCTGTTTAGTTGTTTTTCTCTCCTAGTTGAAGCCACTAAAGGTGCAACTACTGCCACTAACTTTTTACTTTTCTTGGTACTCATGGATCAGTGCTTCTGTGTCTTTTTGTGTATCTGCTCTGTCTTAAATCTCTGGTTGGTCACTCACAATGAGCCAGGTTCTGCTGGAGGTTTCTTCTTGTTAAGAGGGGAAGTTTTTTCTTTCCGCATGCACAGTATGAAGGCTTGCAGTCAAGTGAACAGCTTAATGCAAGCAGCTGTCCACAGTAAATGCAACAGCAATTCAATGACTATGCAACTTGTTGGATTTTCTGAGACAGAAAAGCTTTTAACCGATTTGAATTGTACACTGAACTTGACTGCACTGATTTATACTTTGGATCATTTGGAATGTACACACTTTTTTTTTTTTAATAATTTTTTTCTCAGAGTTTTTGTGGCTCCAGTGGCTTGTATTTTCAGCAGTAGGCAGACAGGAAAGAGGGCGAGGAGAGGAAGCAGAGTAAGAGAAGGCTCTTTTCCCCATGGTGATGAAATTGAGAGGATGAATACTGAGGTGGATGGATAGGAAGAACGATGGGAACATGAATGGGTGGTGATGTGCAGAAGATCAGACGAGTAAGGAGGGGCAATGTTGTAAACTGCACTGACTCTAAACAACAATACTTTAAATTAAATTCAGAATGTGACAGGGAGCCAGTGAAGTTGTTTCCAATGATACAATGTTTCCAAAAATGAAACATAAATGTGTTGTATCTTGGAGATACAACAATATTTATTCATATTACAGTTTGTATGCAAATCCCAACCATTGAAGGGAAGGACTAGTTTAAAAGCATGATTTTAAGAGATGGCAAATCAGCAATTTAAAGAAAGAGTCACTTGTGTCTTTAAATATTACTGCCTCTCATGTCACACAACTTCCACTTCAGTGCACAGTGTTGAATGAAAGGTTTGTTCACATTACAACAGTTGAAGCAAACCCAGTGAGCCCCAGAGGCAACAGAAGCCAAACATCACAGTATGCATATCTTTCACTGGCAGTTTATTTAACGATAGATGCATTCACTTATGTTCTACAATAAATCAGCAAGAATACATTTGTCATTACAGCTTCATTCAACTGAAAGGATTTAAGGCACACCGCTTAAAATTTGAAAGCAAATTAAAATGTTAAGACATTTTGACCCACCACCACACAGAAATATAAGAATTTTTCTGAATAAGAAAATCTTAAAGTCCATGACAGCACCAATTGAAAATCAGGACTTGAGTAGAGCAACAACAATTGCTGGATCGCTGTAGTCCATGAAAACCTTGATATAGTTCCCTCCACAAAATTAAATAGGCAGATTTCTTGAAAGATTTCCATTGAAGATAATGTTAGATGAGCAGATGACAACTTTCCAAACTGTCATCTTGTGGCGTCAGACATAAAGTTGGGAAGCTGTTAAAGCCAGAGGAAGCAGCACCAGTGGAAATTTGAAGGTAGAGGGTGAAGATGGGGCGCCATTTGGAGTCGTAGCATTGGATGAAGTGGTGGTTGTTGGAGCAGAGGTGGTTGTTGTAGCAGAGGTGTTTGTTGCCCAAACAGTCTGCAATAAGTTATTATGGTTTAAATGCAAATTAAAATGTTGCTTCAAGTAGTACTTTTATGAAAAAATTGTGCTGAAGTTGAGAAACCTCTATGTAACACAAGGTGCTGAGCAATATGGAAGATCACTATAAGGCCGCAGTCCACTCATTTCAAACTCATGATCACAGCAGGAGCTTAAATTTAGTCATTATTAGATTTGAAGAAAATATTTCAGATCTAAGTTTAAGAATTCTAATTAGAGGAAACTAGTCTTTCTTTCATAACTGAGTATTCAAACTTTCATGAAAGTTACCAGTCCCCCAAAAATGAGAAGCACCTAATCAAGTTTGTTTGATAATAATAATAATAATAATAATAATAATAATAATAATAATAATAATAATAATAATAATAATAATAATAATAATAATAATAATAAGCTCTGAAATGTAAACTGACCTCTGATGACAGATGGAAAGTGAACAGAACAGCTGCAAAGAAAACAAACATCTTGATCAGCTTGATGGTTCCAGTGAGATTCTGTGTCCTCAAGTGAAGAATGGAAGGGACCCTGTGATGTTTTAATCAGTATGGGAATTTTCCAAGCTGGAGACCACACCCATTTTTTCATGCATTATTTTAGCCCATTTGGATGGAAGTATTTATTTTTGTTTTTATGTGAAAGGTCTCATTTCCATATTTGACTTAATGTTTTGATAGAGCTGAGATAAGAAAATATTCAGAATCAATTCCAGGATGCGGCCATTTTTTGTTTTTGTTTAAATGTGTATTTAAATGGATACATGGCACTGGAAAGCTGAAGAAAGTAAGACAAAGATTTTACTCAAAATGACTTCAGATAAACTTTGCAAGTCTCAAATGGGCACGGTTTACATTTGTGAACATTTGAGAACTCATGCTAGTGTGTATTTAATCAGCAGAGCCACAAATTCTGCTCTCTATCAGAAAGGAGATGGAATATGTCCTGCCATAAATTTGTGTCAATTATCCAAACAACATCAGCAAGTCCACCCCAAATTTAGAAACACACCATTCATGGTGAAAAACCCTCCAATGTGGTTTTTCTACCATATCCAACTACCAACAAAGAGTAAAGTTTTACTACTTTTGCAATTGTTGCACCCAAATGTGACACAACCAGGACAAAAGTAAGGGCAATTAGTTGTTTAGCCACTGTTCAAGTTGATTTGGACACATGTGTTTCTTTGCTTAAATTAAAATCACTGAAAAACAGTTTTGTCTATAGTGATGTTATCTTTGGTATTAAACCCTCCTCCTTCACATCCATGCAGCAGTTAATGCCATTATTTGTATCAGGTGTATTGGAGCAGAGATCTAAAATATGAAAGACAACAACCCCTGTGGACCAGGATGAGGAAATCCCATTCAATCTCAAATGTTTCCCTTTACCTTGTTACATCATTACTTTAGTGCAATATTTGCACTGTAAAATGCAGATTTTAATATCTGTATTTTCTAACTAAATTACATTTGAGAGCTTACGTGTTCATGCATAATTATAGTGTAGTTGTAGTGTCATCACAGTAACTAGATCAGTATTGGCCTAAAGTATAGGCCTTCATTTATGTTGTTAAAAATTGTGAACATTTGTAAGTCACGCTGTCATACAGTAACAGTCTTAGTCCAGGAATCTTCAACTCCAGGGATTGAGGGCTGATGTCATGCATCTTTTTCGTCCGTCTCTGCTTCAGATCACCTGAGTCAAAAAAATCAGGCCATTATCAGGGCTCTGGAGAGCTTGACTGCATACTGAGGAGGTGATCCATTTGATTCAGGTGTTATACCGGACCCCAAGGCCTGGAATCACAAGCCAGTCATAAGGCTCCTTCTCACCATTTGGTGACTTTGGTATCCTTCAGTTTTGGGTTATTTCATCGCTTCCATATTTCTTGAAGTACTCAGTGTGCAATAAAGCCATACATTTCTCCCAGGCTTGGGTGGTACAAAAGCAACATCTCTGGAAATTATTCTTGCATTGACTGACCAGTAAGTGGTCAGACAATGCAACACTGCCCACTCAGTCACTTCTTATTATATCTTGAAGAGAAGTGTCCATTTGAGATCTATTTCCATGACCTACTGACCTTGTGCTGAACCTTTCTATAATACGCCACAACCCATGAGAAGGTGAGCAAATTGATTGTCCCTCCTATGCCACATTTGTAAAATAATCTCAAAAAGGTAAATGGTCTGTCCTTGTATAGTTCTTTATCAAGTCCAAATGACCTGAAAGTCCTTTTCTCCACATTTAGTCATTCACCCATTCACACACATTCCCACACTAATGAGAGTAAGCTACTATATTGTAGCTATATCTTCCCTGGAGCAGATTGAAAGAAGCAAGGTAGTCTTACACCAGCATCTAAAAGTCAACTGCCCATTCCACATCTACAAACTAATTTGGTGTCAATAAACTTTGCCACCTTTGTGCTGGTTTGTGAAGAAAACCAGTGCAATTTTTAAAACTTTAATTAAAATGTTTTCAGACGTCATCAGAGATAAACCTGTCACCCTACATTAACAATCAACCAATTGGGCCAAGATTGTGCGGCTAAAAAATTTCGTAGCACAGTTGATTGATACCACATTTGTTTGATTTGAAAATGTTGGGGGCTGGGTGACCCTTACAGTATTCACTAATATCTTTAAAATGACAGCAGTGCATGCAATTGTTATGCTTCGCAAGGCAGGACAAACATTTGACACTAATGTAATTTGATTCAGAGAAGATGGGGGGCAATGGGGGCAAACTGCACTCAGGTTAAATATACACAATGCACCAGCAACATCCACAAACAACAGCAATGGACGACAAAGCCAGTGTACTTGGTTCTTTGGGGATTTATTTTTGCTTTCAAAAAATTATGTGATGGAAGATGGAATGCTGGAAAAGACTGTTTTTGTGTGCATATTGTTCAAAAAAGAGTTTGCCCACCACTGAAGCTACTCAAGTTTAAAACACCATACCAGTGCAAAACATCTTGCAGCAGCACAAATCTCCCCAACGAAATTATTAGCGTCCACAATCTATATTTCTATTGAAGTGTTTCTTCACAGAAGTTACATCAAATATGAGCAATTTCCGAAACACTCAAAAGCTTAATGCGTATAACATTTGTGCCAATCTGATGGTTGAATAACAAATAACAGTTTAAAAAAATAAATATATTTGCTGAACTCACATGTTTATTTTTTCAATAATGTAGCTGCAAAAAGGGTCTGGATTTATTATAAACCGTGCTTATTTTGCATATATGTTAAGTAAAATGTGATTTCTGATCCAGTAATTAACTTTATTAAAAATTGTATGTTTTCTTTAAAAAAAATAGAGTACAAAGCTAAAGATGTTTTAGAATCTGCCATCACAAAATTCCAACTCAGTTCGCATTTAACCAATGCAGTTTTCATGTTTTCAAAGGAAAAGCACTTTTCACAAGCACTGGGCACTAGTTATCTGTTTAACTACCAGTACAGCCCTCAAAAACTGACACTTTTTTCTGTTCCTCTGATTTGATCTCTTCTGCAGAGCCATGAGTGCAGGTCCTGTCAGCTGCAGTCAAGATTGGGGGTTGTGGAAGTCTGTCGAGTGACTCTCGTGCAGTTTAAAAGTAGGTAAAGTCAATGTCAGACTTTTTGTGGTGTATGCACTATAAATATTCTCCAGTCCCCCCAGCAATAAATGAAGGCAGACATTTTACACCTTTATTTACTTCAAGTTTTGCAGCACTTAAATAGATACAAATATTTGCAGTGAAGTTGATCAGAACTACTTTCATTTTTTTAAAAAACCTCTTGACAGACACATTTTCTCCCACACCCACAAACATTTCTACACAGCTTTAGTATTCTTCCCGATTTATAGCTCATAAGACACCCAGCAAGGATCAGGACGTGAAGAGAAGAAAAAGGCGAGTCCTGCTTTGGTGCGTAAAACGGATGAAATGAAAAAATGTTCTTTAGGGGTCTTCATCTTGAGGCGGTACACCTTTGCATCCACTTTCCATCTGGGTCCACAAGACGGATGGAGTTAGTCCCAACCCCGGGACCAGTCGTGAAGGAAGACCGCCGCTAAAGTCAAAGGGAGAAGGAGCAGCGGAACGGCGGTGGTCATGCCACTCACGCTGGCGGTGTTGTTGGGTCCGGGTGTGGTAACGTTTGGATTGCCTCCCGCGTCTACCTGGACCACCTGCAAAAAACAAGCAGCAAGTCCGTCGAGATGTAGCCCGTGCAGATCACAGCTCCACGCAGTTAAAACAGAAACCAAAACACCGATCGATTCGAGATTGACGAGGAGAAAGTAGCTCTACTTAAATCCAGCGTTAAATCAGCAGAGAAATGTCTGATGGTGCCACTGGCACAATAAAAACAGTTAAAATAGGTGTAATATAAAGCCTGAAAGAAATGCCACGCAAACATCCCCGCCAGAATAAGAATGCCAATAAAAATAGAAGAAATATTTTCAAGAAGAAAAACAAAACAACAATATAAACTAACCTGGAATGAGACGAAAAAAGCCAGCAGCAGAGCTGACAGCCAGGCGACGGGCAGTTTCTTCATCTTGCTGGTTGAAGAGCAGGTATGCGCTCACAGATTGCGCGGAAGTGACTCAAAAGGAGATGCTGCAGAGCTTTTATACTGCAAGTGACATCAGCAACATCATCATCAACACTATCCTGTGCGTGACCCCAACCCATGCTGCGTTCAAGGTTTGTATTGAAATTATACAATCAAATAATATCATTAATTGTACTAATCTATATTTAGGCGCATCTTTAGTGTTTTGAAGCTAAAATATATTGATAAATAAAACAAAGAGTTTATAATGTACGTGACTGTAAATGAGCTGTATTGTTTTCCTAATCCAAACCAGTTTAATAATGACCATCAGAAACGTATAGGAAAATTGTCCTTCAAAATGTTCAATAAAACAATAAATAGTGTTTAAAGTTTATTTATTAAATGCACATATTGATTAGTAGGAGGCAGAGTAGGGCAGGGTCACATGAAACACAGAAAGTGCAGGTGCATTTCACTAAATTTATCTGTAAATACCTTTAAGTAATTTAAGAAGTAAAACACATATTTTACATATTAATTACACTCAGGAATATATAGTCCAAATCTTCATTTTTATTCATTTTGAACAATAATTTTGTTAGTGGTGCATGTGCACTGATATATAGACCAGCCAATTTATCAGCGCCGATTTTCTTAATTTTAGTAAGGCCAAAAAAAAAAAAAAAAAAGTTTTTCAAACTTTTCAGATTTGTAAAAAAATGTTCAAACCCATTCATTTTCTTCCTAATAGAAAACGTACTTTTTTTGATTTGAGGATTTTAAATCTTTTTCCCTTTACCCCAAAATGAAATGATTAGGATTCAAACTGAAAGTTGTACATTGTCATTTCAACAGGTACCACAAAGTGAATCCCTGGGTTTAAGAACATTGAATGTAAAAACCCTGGCACCATATAGGGAAATATGGTGCCATTTTGCTCACATTTCAAA